ACAGACACACAGACACACAGACACAGACACACAGACACACAGACACAGACACACAGACACACAGACACACAGACACAGACACACAGACACAGACACAGACACACAGACACACAGACACAGACACACAGACACACAGACACAGACACACACACACACACACACACACAGACAAGGTCCAGGATCTGTGACTATTACCATGACGACCATGGCGTTTCTCCCACATTTTCTCTCCCTCAACCCAAGCACCAGATCTCGAGCACAGAGTAAATGACACACGAAGGAGAACACTCACGATATGGTCGACCTGAGATAGACTGACAGACAGACAGGCAGACAGACAGATGAGGGACGTTCAGTAAAGTCTTTTTCCCCGACTATGAAGCATTTCTCGTGCTACGCATCAACCTAAAACCTAAGATCGCTCCCAGGCCAGGCTAATGTACCAAGTTTTTGCATGGTGTAGAACACAGGCTAATGTACAAGTTTTTGCATGATGTAGAACACAGGCTAATGTACAAGTTTTTGCATGATGTAGAACACAGGCTAATGTACCAAGTTTTTGCACGATCCACGTCACCCGGGTGAGACCAACTAATTCTGTTTTTAGCCCAGTGTTTTATGATTACGAGAACAACAGACAGCACAGGCCCAGGCGATTTATTTATTTATTTACTTTTTCAGCATTGTTTCTGGTGTGTACATCTATAGAGACACAAGTATAGGTCTAGACAAGACTACCTTTATTAATTATTACGCAAAGACTAGAGTCTATCACTGGCGTACATTTTAGCTCATACGAGACGTGTGAGGGGTGACCTAGGTATTGGCTAGCCTATTTTTAGTTCTCCCGAGAACGAAATAATCTAGGTCAGGTGCTTTCATTTCTTTTTCTGCTGTTTTTCAGCATAAATCTTCTATTGTACAACATATTATAATGAGATACAACTTTATTGATAATGTAAAGTGCAATGAAGAAGCAAAAATATACTTAAAGATGCAATTATTCCTTCCAAAATGAGTGGAACCGAGGCTTTCTTAGCCACTTGTACTGCTGATGGAAAAGCGTGCATGCAGGAAAATCGCCTAGGCCTAGGCCTAGTCAGACAAAGGAAGTCAGTGACTGACAAAAACGAGATCATTTGCATATGAACCTGGCCTAAACTGACTTAAAATGCCAGTGGACTTGAGGCATTATCTTTCAAACACGACACTGCGTGTGGAAATGAGAAAACCCAATGAGCGGCGACAACTCGAGAACGCTTCGAGTGAACGTGCTAGCCTAGTTGGTGAGCACCAAAAGATATCAGCCCCTGTCGTACGATGCTCCGGCACACAGAGCCGTGAAGATAACTCAAACAGCAAAGTGATGTGGGGACAACAAACAGTCTCCCACACCCACCCTATTCATCCTCTTATTTCTTTTGGGTTTTTTTCTTTTTTTAGGACTAAAAGATTTTTTGGGAGGGGAGGGGGGAGGTGCAGAATAAAGAGGTAGTGGAAAAGAAGAAGGATTTAAAGGACAACGGTCAGTTTACAAGGCAATGTATAATTCTCCGCCTTCACCAACGCGCTAACCGATAAATGAACCTGTTTCTGTCTTATTTCTTTTCTGTCCAGAAAAAGGAGCAAACTGAGATTGTACCAACAGAGGAGCAGCCTCAGGTTCCCCAAACCAAATGTGATCGCCAGACGATGGTGAACTTACCCAGCACAAGTCAAGGTACAGCACTCGGCAGACACAGTCCCACGGACCGGTGGTTGTTGTGCGTTAAGGGAAAGGGGGGGG